ACTTTCAGTATTGTCAAGCAGTTCAGATGCTTCAATAGGAAAGGAATCGTCGACGACCAGTGTATCATCCTGAAAAATATTTCGGTTACCAGCACAAGTACTTTTTAGGATCTACAACTTACTTCGTCTCGGTTACCATCATCTTCACAGATGTCTGCTGAGGCAGCCGCCAGCGTTCCAGGAATTTCAGTGTTCTCAAGGAGTTCAGATGCCTCAATAGGATCATCGTCGACAACGGGTTCAACTCCCTCGTCAAGTTCTCGCTTTTCCGCACTGAAACTGATGTTACTCAATCAACAATGACTCAAACACTATTTCGCTAAACACAGCTATGATGCTGAGACAATAGAACCATCTCGTATCAATAAACTGTAGGCACCACCTACTAGAAATGTTGGACGCGGTCAAGACATTCAAGATGTCTAATTTATGCACTCATTTCTGTGACTCATATTCAAAAAAAAAGCAACTTACTTGATTTTTTCTTCTGGGGTAATAACAGACCGCGCTTCTGCACTGCTGTCTCGTGAAGACTTTCTGCCCTGCATTTGAAGCAATCATTATCATTCATTTGCTGTTAATGCAACTCCTCACCTCTCCAGACGAACACGGAGAATCAGTGAGGTGGTGCGCCTCCGGATCTGAAAAGCGAATCTTGGAAAAACTTTCTATAAAAAAGTGGCACATACTAGGCCTACCTGACGTCGGTGATGCGATAAACAAGTCACAATCTACTAAGTCATCATCATCCGTCATATTACGCTAAAGTTCTCAATTATGTTATGCAAATAAAGTGAGAGAAAGTATGAGATGATGGAAAACATCACACAAAAACACATTCAGTGGCAGTAGAAGGCATTTATTTAGCGAGATTCCGTATTTGGCACTTCAAAAGTGGAATAAAAGAAATTATGCAATCAATGGAAGAATTGTAGAAATGAGATCACTACAATCAAAGCTCTTGTTTCTTCAAAGTTTCTGTGTGGTTCTCAAGTAGATAGTTCGCATAAACTTGGTATGGATCAATATCTT